CAAGAAGCATCACGATGCTTTCAGTAGAGAAGCTCTCTGTGAGTAGGAGCTTAAAATCCACAGATTTCCTCTCCAAGCCTGCCAAGCCAGAAGGCTGAACAGCCTTCCCAGGGCACCTCTCACGGCAGACCCACTTCATGGAATCTCATATGACTGCCCTGTGTAGGCCCAGTTTCTTTGTCTCACCAGCTCCTAGCCACATTTTGCCCAATTATGGGTTTTCTACTTCTCCACCAGCAATCAAAAAGGCTAGTGGAAAAGTCCTGATCATTTTTCTTGTGTCCTGATCTCTACTGGTCTGGATAAAACCAGGCCACTGGGCTGCAACTCATTCATCCTGGGCTTTGTCTTCCACCCAGGGATTTTGAAATGTTTTTTTGATTTGTGATCTAGGAAAGACTCCCAATTACATTTTTATTTCCAAATTAATAGCCAGTGCCGTCTGGTGTTGCACAGTTTCTCTTTGCCCCTGTTGTCCATGACTCAGTATGTTTTGCATCTGTCAAGTGCCTAATCACTCTCCTGATCACTCCATGTGATCTTGTTTGTGGAGGAACAGAGGAGTGAGATTAATAGCAACACTTTATACTGGTTTTCTCAGTGAGGTCACAGATCTCAATATTGCTCCTTCCCTTATGCAGTATATTTTTATGCTGCCTTTGCCAGCATTGCCATTGAGATACTTCCCAACTGGCAACACCTGGAGAATTCCATGGCCAGCTGTGCATCCCTGGCTTGCAGGTAACAGAGGTGCTTGGCCCTGCCTACCTTCTCCTCACAGCAGAGTGAGTTTTTAGGTGGCTGGGTCCTGGTGTCCCTCCCCAGCCTTGCTGTCAGTCCTCCCTTAGTACTTCATCTCTTGGTAGGAGCATCTGGCACCAAGACAGGACACCAGCTCCCTGCAGCCCCTGTGTCACCCCTGGGGCTGCTGCCAGCCAGAGCAGGGGGACAGGGCAGCCCCCAGCCCTCCAGTCCAGAGCCAAGCACAGCCAGCTGGGTACCAGCTCGGGGTCTGTGCAGGCTGTGCCACCCCCCAGGAATGAAATCCCGCAGGCACCTCCAAGTGTTAGGCAGGATTTCCTCACCTGCAGTGGCTCCGCTGAAGGGAGGAGGTTGTTCCTCCTGCTCTCGGAGAAAGAAAAGTGAGATTTGTGTGCTGGGAGCACAAGGGGCTGAAGCAGCGTGAGGAGCTCCCCACCTCCTGCAGATCCCCCGGCTGTTTCTGGATGCTGGGCGGGTTTGGCTTTAACGAGCACATAACTTTACACCACTGCTTCTGCAAACCGAGGCGCTTTTCTGGAGAATCCAACCGCGTTTCCATCCCTGCGGGGGCAGCCACGAGCCCCGGGCATCGATCCCACCGCATTCAAAAAGCGACACAAAGCCCTGCAGCTTTCCCCCCACCCCAGCTAGTTCTCCTGCTGCCGTGGCTTCCTGTTATTCCTAAACTCCCGATATTTTTAGGTTGTCGACTCTTCTTCGTACCCACTTTGGGAGGGATGAAATCTCACCCAGGGGAAGTGGTTGCAGCACCACTCTAGTAACAAAATCATTAAATCAATTGCCTTTGCAGCAAAGCCATCTCTAGTGAAATGTCACCGATAGCTGCAGTGTCATCTCCAGAGCCTGCAGCCTTTCGTCAGCCATGTGCTTGTTAACAGAGGAGGAGATCAGCACATGGCTGAGCTGCTGCTAGCACTGCAGAGACCATGGAAAAGAGAAAAAAGGAACCTCAGCTTAGGAAAAGGAGCAGACTTTCAGTTTATGGAAACCTGATATTTCACCTCCATCTATTAAGCAGCAGGTGATAAAGCAATACAGACCTCAGCTGATGTTTGTCCCATAAAATAAACCCAGCAATATACAGCCTCAAGACATATGTTTATATAGAAATAAGTCATCAAGTTATTTACTTCTGAGGCATAAGAATTAGGTTTGTTTTCACAACATGTTGAGTATCACTTCATCATCAGTAACAGAAAAACCAATAAAAGTACCTCCCTGGGGAGATAACAGATTCTCCTGGAAGATAACTGTGAAGACACACCCCAGCACGTCTCATCTAATCAGCTGCTCTGCTGGTAGAGGTGATGAACAAATTGTGGTGGATCTCAGCAGGTCCCAAAATGTATGTGAGTGATGGCTGTAGGGCTACTCCTGGCAATGGTCTCTGACTTTCCACTGCAGAGTGGCCAGCCCAGGATCTCCAGGTCTCTCAAATTCTCATTGTTCATGCCTTTCCCACATGGGCCATCTTAATTTCAAGGGCCAAGCATCAAGATCCTGCATGCTCCACCAGCTTCTGAAGCTCTGCAATGGCCACACCAGGGTTCTGTTTAATGTCTTCTTCTTCTCTGAGTGCTTTGTCTTGGCTTTAGGCATGACCAAAATGAAGACAAGACATGTTCTTGGAGGGAGCAAAGGCATTTTGTCCCACCACGCTCTGCTCACCACACGAGCACAAGGGCTTTGGCCAAGGAGCAGCTGGCTCACTCTCCCTGAGGCTGCTTGGGAAGGGAGTTACGCTTGCCCTCACCTGTGAGATGTTTGTGTGCAGCATGATGGCATTAACCAGCTGAATAAAACATTCAACAGAACCCTCTCCCACCCCAGAGGCTTCTCATCCTCTCACAGCTGGTTTTTAACTCCTGAGTCCTCCTCATCCCACATGGCTGCAGGCACTGTCCTCTTCTCTGCCCCCACCACCTGCCAGGAGGCAGCAGGTCCCCGGGTCACAAGGCAAGCCCATGCCAGGGAGAGGTTGCCACAGGGGCACAGGCACACACCTGTGCTGGAGAGGAGCAGGAACCAGCAGCCAGGGCTCACAGAGCTGGTCTGCAACACTCCCTGCTGTACCATTTACCCCTGTGACCGTGCAAGGGCTTGACACAGAGATCTGATAATACTTCCCTTATTCTATAATCCCTCTAGACTGAGGTGAATGCCTGTCTCCCGTAGCAGCTGTCCTGTTCACAGGAGCCACCTCTGAAGAGCCACCAGCTGCAGGGCTAGCCCCACTGTGCAGGAGGGATGGAATTTTGCCCATTGATTTTCTATTTGTGTGTGCTGGGACTCTGCTCTCTAGCATTATGAATAAATCTAGAAACCTGTAGCAGCTCCAGGAAGCATGAGCCATTATTTTTGCCTGGACATTGATTCTTCTCGTTTTTCTCCATTTTATTGCTGGAGCCTGGTTTTTTTTCCATACTCAGAGAAAATGCCAGCCCAGCATTGAGGACAGCCAGTTTCACTGGGTGTGGAGTATTGCTGCTCCACCAAAGGTTGTTGCTGTGGGACTTGGAGTGAGTGAAAGGAGAATTTCTCTTCAGTAAGACAGAGCTCAACTACTGCTGAAGCACCCTAAAGCCCATCCAGGCAGAGACAGGAAGTCCCTAAATCCAGATTCAAGGCTTTGGGGAAATCCCTGACCTCTGCCTGTGGTCACACAGCTATTGCACTCATGCCTCACCTCTCATGTCCTGGCCACTTTCTTTCCCCAGCTTTGCAGAGCTTACAAAGGACTCTCATATCTGCCTGCACTGGCATTGCCCCAGCAAGCAAACCAAACACAGCATAAACACCAAAACAGCTTCCCAAAGGGTAAACCTGCAGCACCTCATCGATCTCCCACCTCCCTTGAGGGGGTGAGCCATGGCCACAGAAGATTGGGATTTCAAGTGCTCACCTTTTAGCCCAAGTGCTATGTGCCATTTAGCCTGCCCTGGTTAATTCATCCCAACTGCTGCTCTCCCTCAGTTCAATGGCAATTCCCAAGCACTGTAGAGCCCCAGAAGACTTAAGAGTGAATCAAGCCCCTTTTCTTAACAGTCATGCACTGAAAACAAAAAAAAACCAAAAAAACCCAGCATATCTAGCATACAAGCAAATAAACAGCAATAACGGTGTAACTTTATTTAGATTTAATTTGACATTTAGCACAGTAATATGCACAGAAAGAAAAACGTACCAAAATACCAAACTGATAGCATATAAAATAATCAAATATATTTCATATTTGGTGAAATATTTCTACAACACATCAGTGGGACTACCCTGGGCAGCCCAACCCTGTAAATATATATAGATATATTTATATTAATAGCTGTGTTATATAAAATACTGTATGTAGAGAAAGCACTGAAACTTATCACCAAAATAGAAAATAGCTCAAAATACAGCTAGTTCAGGTTTTCTGGATATACCCAATATGGAAAAGAGATTCAAACTCACTGCAGGAGATAAAGCTCCAGCTGAGATGCTCTGGCAGGCATGGGATGGCAGGGGTGGGCACACACTGGATCAGCTGGCAGGAGCCTGGCTGCCCATGGCCATGAGATGACAAAACTTTCTGATTCTCACCCAGAACCATCAAGAGGCTTCCAAAGTGGGAATGCCCTCGGTACTTGTGGCTGATGCTGGGGCCAAAGAGTTTCTGCTACATCAGAGCTACTGGAGCAGCTCCTGCAGCACAACGGGATCCCTTAAGGACCCAGCTGCAGCAGGGCTGACCATCAGCAGATGCACAACATCACAAGCATATTATTCTGAATTTTAAAGATGCCTCTTCAAGCAGATGACAGCAATTAATTCCCATTAGGTTTTGAAAAGATAAAAAGCTGCGTTTGTGCGAGGCCAGGCTCCCCCAGGCAATACCGTGTGGCACAGGAAGCAGCGAGCCTGCTGCTCCAGGACAGTGACACCAAATGAAATGCCTGGCAAAATCTCCCACCTCCCCTGAGGGTCATCAAGGGTTGGACTTAAGAACACAAGCAATTTGTAGACAGGTATAAAAAATATATGGCATTTCTGTCAGCAGCACTGAAGTGCAGCTGGAGTCAGTAACGTGCCCCAGCCATGGCCAGGGCACTGCATCTGCTGCCTTCCACACAGCACACTTTTGTGCTTGTCTGTTGCTTTTTGGCCTGGTGTAATGATTGATTTACTTCACTACCCCCATAGGAAGAGAAGCCTGCAACCCATTAATAATTCTGCAAGTGCTCTTCCTCATCAAGCCAGCAGTTGCATCCCTAATTACATGGCAACAATACTATGCTAACAGGATGAGCTATAATTCCTAGGTGGTATTAACATTATTATTTTACTCTGAGTAACTTCCTGGTAATGGCCATTTGAATCTGGCAATATCAATTAAGTGAATATAAATGCTTAGCCCCTGGAAAAATCATTAATAAAAATCTCATTCTGATAGCCTCTAATCACAGCTAAGTACAATTACTCATACGAGGCCACTATAAAAAGTATTTTTCTCATCAGAAGAAATTCATCAGGTTTTCCCAACTGTTTGTAATAAAGAGGACACTATATAGAAAAGTCCAGAAAATAAGCACACGTTTGTTTCTCAAAACCCATAGATAAACATGACAATATCTCTAAATTACTGGCTACAAACAGGATTTCATTTAGCTCTACTCAAGCTGTAGCCTAGTATAAATGTTTTCAAAGCAGCACGTTGCTGTTTCATCTGGAACAGCTGCACAGGATTTCTTTGATATCAAGCTCTTGTGTGGGGATAGTGTTTCAATTTTTCTCTTTATGCCTCCAAACTGCGGAAACAAGAAGGAAAATACATTTAGTAAAAAAGGTGTTTTTCATGAGAAAAAAAAAAATGAAAAGAAAAGAAAGCACTAAGAAATAATTTATCACTGCAGTGGTGACAGAACCACGCTGCATCTCTCACATCTCTGTTTCAAAGGAGACAGGGACACCCGCCTGTGGTCTTGCACAGGTCACCCACAGCATTGTACTGAGATTCGTTTTTATTGGTTTAGGGTTTTGGATTTATCACTTATCTCTGGTAGCTTTGTACCCCTCACTTTGTTTGCAAGTCTGGGCTCCATTTATCACAAAGCAGTCTGCCTCTCCTCCCGATTTTTGCAAGCATAGTAAATGTCAAGCATTCTCACTGTCTTGTTTTTTTGATGAGCTATTCTTTACTTTTCAATTCCTTGTCTCAGTACCTGGCACTCCCTGGGCTCACAGGCTGCACCCAGGGCCACCAGCTGGCCCGGGCACACAGCACAGGTGCCAGCTGGGTGTCACAGCTGGGTGACCTGGACAGGGAGCACTCTACAGTAGCCTGTCCATGCCTCCTGCACTCCCCAAAGCCTGTGGCTGGTGCTGACCTACATCATCCACCAGACACACTTCCTGAAGCAGTGAGCAAAGGTTTTTTTTAGGTTGCTCATCACAGAAGTGCAAAGCCCCTGTCAGGCACTCGGTGCCCATGGGTCAGAGGCAGGAATCAGTCATACATCTCTTCATACATCTCTTATTCACAGCACTCAGCAAGAAACAGCCCCATGCAGTGCCTGGGAGGAGGGCACTGCTCACCTGCAGAGCCAGCCACCACAGCTACACACACATTTAAGAGGTACAGCACATGTTTGTCTTTCCTTAGGGAGATAAGGCTGGAGAAATCTGGGACACCAGGAAGAGCTGGCAGGAGGGCTGCTAGGGTGATGTGGGGAGAAGTGCCAACACTATTATCTCCAGACAGGATGTCTCTCTCAAACATTCATGTGGGTTTGTCAGCCTTGCTTCATAAATGTTTTCCAGACAAAGGGTTTTTTGCAAACACTGTCAGAGCAGGCCTCAAGGAGTCTTCTTAGTGACCTCCAAAAAGTACATTTCCTAAGGCATTCCCCTGTGCATGTCTTGTCAGACACCCGCTTTGATGAACAATGTTTACTAGGAAAAAAAGCAGTAAAAGCTGACAAAGGCTGCTGAAAAAAATCCAAGGACTCCGTTTCAAAATGTGATGATCTGATAAAACAATTTCTGCCGGAGCTATTGACCTCTCACTCGTCTCCAGCAAAGGGTCTGGCAGCTCCTGTGTGGCCCTGGCAGGCTGAGGGATGCACATGCAGCTCACACCCCCGGAATTACTTACTGCTCTCCTGCCTCAGCACTGTCACTGCCCACAAATGGGATTTCTTCCCTGTCCGTCTGCCCCAGAACGAGGTGGTGCTTCTCCATGTTTATGACACACTGTAGAGAATAAATGTCCTTAGGTAAGAGGGAAAAGTGCAAATGAGAGTGGTCCCAGCTGCCCCATCAACACGGGTAAGCATCCTGCTGGAAAACTCCTACCTTCAGAGACTTCAGTGTCTGCAGCCCGAAGGAAAAGGGCTGGTCGTTGTCTTCTGAAAAAAAAAAGGACAATTCAGATTTATACATTCAAAATGCCCTCCTGGGCATTTTGTCAGTGACTCCATCCTTCCTTTGTGGTTGCTCTGCTAAACAAAACCCTGTTTATAAAGGGCCAGACTCCAGAGGAGAGCAGGAGGGCACAGGATGGCAGGAGGATGTGCCTGCAGGGAGATGCAGTGGTCGCTCCATCACCGTGGCAAAGCCAAGCTTGCTGAACATCCTCCCCCTTCCCTCTGTGGGAGGGCCGAACAAGAACTTGCTCTATTTTATTTTTACCATCTTCCCAAAGCTGTGTTTTTCCTGCTGGGGTAAGAGGCAGTAGAGCCCAGCCCGTGGTGGAGGAGCAGAGGGTTTCACACTCACCCACGACCAGGGCAGGGCACTCCACGGGGACAGCTCCCACCGTCAGCGACAGACACTCGATCTGCCCGATGGCTTTCACCTTGCTGGGCAACAAAACCGCCTCCTCTTCCACAGGGAGTGCTTTGACATGCTCCTTTAACCTGTGGGCATTGAAAACACTCCTGGCATCTCAAGTGGCTGGGCTCTTGCAGCAAGGAGCAAGTGGTGTTTGGAGGGTGTTTGCACCTGAAGGGCTTTGAGCTTGCTCATCTCCCACGCTGCTGTTGGAAAAGCTGGCAGGTTCTCTGGGGTGCTCTGCAGGCAGCCCACACCCACATCAGACCCAAAATGCAGCCCTGGGGCTGCCCAAGCACTTTTCTCTGCTGGATTTGGGGTTTTACCTGAGGAATCTTTTCCCTACGTTTTCTCGAGACTTGAAGAATACTGAATTGCCTCTAATGCAGTGAGGGTGTAGGGAAAGGTTGGTTCACTCCCACAAGTGGAGCTGGCACTGTGTCCCCATGGAACCATGGAAATGCTGAGGTTGGAACAGACCTCTAAGACCATTGAGTCCAGCTGTTAACCCAGCACTGCCGAGGTCACCACTGCACTGTGTCCCCAGTGCCACACACACACATGTTCTGAGCACTTCCAGGCATGGTGATGCCACCACTTCACTAAGCAGCTTGTTCCAAGGCGTGACCACCCTTTCAGTGAAGAAATTTTTCCTGATACTCAAACTAAACCTCACATGGCACAACCTGAGACCATTTCCTCTGGTCCTGTCACTCATTCCCTCACTCGAGCCTCCTTTCAGGTAGTTGTGGAGAATAATGAGGTACCCCTGAGTCCCCTTTTCCCCATGGCTCACATCCAGGTGGCCCAATCCGTGTTTATTAGTTTGTTTGGTGCTGCTGCTGGGTTTGTTCAGAGGAAATGGGGACAGATCAATCACACTCAGCCCAAAGAAAAGAAAAAAGGATGTCAGAGATACCCTCAGGTACAGCTTCTATCTACACCCTTTGAAGCAGTCTGACGATACTAATTAATTATTTAGCTTCAGTTTCTCTTTTAAACTGAACAAGAATCTAATGGAAAGGCCATTTGAGGCCCTGATCTCTCTCTCAGATAAAAGCCAGATCAATTTTCAGCTATTTGAGGTTTCTGCTGAGCCGCATTGCAGCAGCACACACGTGTGTGTCTGTCTGTCTGTCTGTCTGTCCATCTGTCCTGGGGGGTCAGCCCCCTCAGAGGCTCCAGGACTGAGATGGGCATTGCCCAAAACATTTAGCACAGGTGCAAGGGCAGTGAGGGGTAGCAGGGAAAAGGAGCTGGATCCCCTCTGCTGCTTTCTTGGAATCTGGCCTTAAAAATCAGTAGGAACATATTAATCAGAAGTTTATGAGTTCCTTGGCCACCTTCTGCACCTCCTACAGCTCCCCAGGGGATTTCTCATCCTGGCAGCCTGTGATCCTACTCCACTGCTTTCCTCAGTGTGAGGGGGAGAGAGAGACTGGCATCATCACAAAGACACAAAAAAAATTTTGAAAAATAAGGGAGGAATTGAGCCTGAGCATCAGACACACAAGTGCTGCTTTAAGGCACCGAGTCCTCTGAGACCTGGGCAGCAGAAACAGGCTCTGAGCTTTCTCTTCAGTGCTCTGTGGAGGACAGGGCTGCTGCAGCACAGCAGTGCTGCAAGAACTGCACTGGACACATGTCCACAGGGAGCAGAGGAACTGTCCCAGAGCATGAAATCCCTCCAAATGCCATCGTGTGGCTGTCCTAAGCTTGGCTGAGCTGCTCCACAGACTGTGACAAGGTTGTAGTAAGCACAGCCACCTTCCAGTCACTCAGCACTATTGTGCAAAGAAGTAATTAGTGTTAGGACAGGAACAGGCACCATTCCTCCAGGGCCATGCAGAAGTGCTCAGTGAGTAGGTGTAGTTTTCTTTTTTTTCATAATTACCACAAGTTAGCTGCAAAAAACAATGACTCCATGGGAATAAAATGCCCAAACCTCCTTGATATCCTGTGAGCTGATGCCTGGTCCTGCTCCTCAGAGATGAGAGAGAGTTTTGCTGCAAATGGCTGTCAGCCACCTCTCTACTAATCCATAAATACTTTTCCTTTAACCAGGAGAAATTTGTAATTGGGAGCAGCATCAGACACCCAGCTCTGAGAACATGCATGCTCACAGCTTCTTTGCACTGGGTGCTGGGCCAGCAGTGCTGCAGCCACTGCCCGGGGGCATGTCCAGGTCCCTGCCCTGCCCTGGGAGCTTGCAGAGCTGGGCTGGGCTGCAGCCCAGGGCACACAGAAGGCTGGGGAAGGTTCAGCTGTTTCATGAGGCACTGAGTGACGAGCAGACAGTGAAAAAACACAAATGCATCTATCCCTCTGAAGGGATTCCATCAGAGGTGAACAGGGTGGCTTTCTATTCCGTCTCCCTGCCGTTTAGGATTGGGGCAGGATTTGGCTGTAACAGAAGGGTCAGGGGCTTGCCCAGCCCAAAGCCCTTCTAGAATGACCATCACTGACATGAGCAAAGCCATGGGCACTGCCTGAGCTGCCAGGTGCCATGCTCCTGGCTGGATATTTACCCCAGCCTGTCCAGGCAGGCAGAAGACATGAGGTTGTGCTGCGAGCCAGTGTCCACCACAGCCTTCAGCTCCTTCCCCGCACACTGCAAGAGCAAGAAGAGACAGGAAATGATGCGTGGGATGCAGGATGAGCACCAGAGTGTCCATGAACTCTCCTCATGCCAGCTCATCCCTGCTGCCCTGCACGCAGGGTCCTGAGCCCTTCCTGGCTCATTTGCCCCTGCAGAGAGCAGATGGGGCAGTGCCAGGCAGGAGGGAATACTGTGGAGAGTGAGAAAAACAAATGGGGGAGAGAAATGTGAAATTACCCTTGGGCAAAGAAAATAGGGATGGCACTTGAGGAAAACAAGCAGGCTGTGAGCACAGGGGTTTGCCATGGGTAATTACACCCCAGCATTTCAGCACGCTGCCCCAGCTTAGCTGTCCCCTCCACCCCGATGTGTAAGGGAAGACACCCATCAGACCAGTTTTGTCTCTGATTCCCAGGTGGGCATCTCTGCCCCAGCAGCCTGGAGCTGCACAGGGAGTGTGTCCAGAGCTGTGACAGTCCCGTGGGAGCACAAACCTGACTGGGAAGCATGGACAACTAGAGCACAGCCTGAGACAGTCAGAAATAAAATCTGCAGAAGAAAAAACCACAAAAAGCTGTGGAAGGACTATTACCTGGCAGCTGACCACTATGAGCTCTGCATCCTCTGTTTTCCCCGAGCTGCCCAGCTTGGTTTGGTTCAGCTTGTTGGTGTGTGAGGAGACATCACCCTTTGGAGTCCAGCTGCCTCGGCTGCCTCGGAACTTGGACAGATTTGTCTCCATCAGGCGCTTCTGCAGGATGTTATGTGGTTGCTTTAAGGAAGAACACACACAGAAGAGCAGGGTGAAGTCAGAGGAAAGCCACACAGTGCCCTGTGTCACCAGAGTGCCTGTGGTGCCCGTGGGCCAGCACTGCTCTCACAGGAGGCTTGCCCTAAACTCTTACTCTCCCTAATTCCCAGATTACCAGTACTCTTCCTAGCTAGTTCTGGCTTGCCTCTATTTGACTAAAAAGAACTTTGTTTTGCAAAGGGAATAATACTTTCAAACTATTAACCTTTAAGACCCTGGAGAGATGCCTTTCTTTTACCAAACTCAAACTCAAGGTTTGATTGTATATAGGAATCCAGACAAGTCTGGCCTTTTCAATCTGCTGTTTGATCCATAACTGCCTCCAACTCCTGATGAAGGGAATTCTGTAGTGATGTGAAAAATTAGGATGTAACAAATCACCTTTCCAATGATACTCACCACCTGAGTATGAAGAATGTCTAAAATTACCCTCTGTATCTCTTCCCCCGTACTTTTACTTAGCTGCTAAGGGTGGCTGAATGGGACCAATCCTGAGTGCCATACCACAAGAGGAAAGGGGTAAGCTGGTCTGAGGAAGGTAGAAATTCTCCCAGAATTCCCAACACTTCTCTCTTTCTCTGTTATTTCCATTTGCTCTGGGAGAAGCATGTTGCCTCTTAAGATCTCCTCTAACCTCTTTCCCAAAAGCCTTTTTATGTTTAATGTTCATTGCAGATGGATGCACACACTGCTGGAGGTTAAATGACTCTGCCTGATTATCTGCTCATTTCTCTGCCCAGCTAATCTGCCCTCCCCATTAATGCCTTTCCTTCTGATTTTAATTTTTCCATGGTGAGACATTTTTACTGGCTTATTCTCGAATTTTTGCATTCATGTTAAACATGCCTGTGTGTCTGCAGAGACATCTGAACCAGCAAACCTCCTCATCCCAAGGGAATATCCGAGTCAGGATATGTTGGAAAACCTCGGGCTCCCCAAGTTGGCCAGTGCCCACCCTTGTGCACAGCATGTCAAATAACAGCACTTACAGAAGTCTAATGCAACCTGGCATCATCCTAAAATAGCTGCAGCCACGCTGGCACTTCAGATCCTGCTGTGGGCACAATGTGGGCAGCAGAGCTGGGTCTGACTGATGGCATGGGAGGGATGGGGGAGCTGCAGCCAGCTCCAGTGGTCACTGGGACACATCAGCTCCTCCTGTCCCCACTTTCCTCTCTTCTGGTTTCTATTACTTGAAATAAAATCCCATGGCCATTTTGGAGTGCAGGTGCTGTGTCTGACCAACCTGCTACAGAGCATGTGCTGTGTGTAAGCAGTGACTCCTGATGGGGAGGGATCAGATCTGACATGGTGCTGCCTTCCCAGTGAGCCCAAAGAGCAGAAACCAGTGTTAACTAACTGGATTAGAGACAGAGGGGCTGCAGTGGTGCTGGGCCCTGTGTGGAGGGACAAGCAGATCAGGTCAGTCTGGGAGAGAGGGCTCTCTTTATGTGGGGCAGAAGCCATAGGTGCACAGTCAGCACTGTGATCACCTCCAGTGCTCCTCAGCAGAGCAAAAATGCAAACCAGGGTTTTCTGACACTGTATGGGATGTCCTTTACAAACCAGGGTTTTCTGACAGTGTATGGGATGTCCTTTACAATCTTTATGTTTGACTGCAGCTCAGGAACACAGCCAGAGCACTAATTCTTCACATCATTTAGAAACGACAAAAGAAAGGATAGGGGAGTGTAGAAGTAAATGAAGTTCACCCAGCTGGCCAGAAGACAGCCTGTCACACAGTGGTCACCTCCTTGTGCCCAGCCCCACTCAGGGAGGACCAAGAGAAATTTCTGAATGCATCAGCCAGGTCAGTCTGGGTGCTCTTCTGATCTGCCTGGCCTCGATCTCCAACACACTCCTCATTGATATTTTAGTTGTCATCTACCATTGAATTCAACCTAATTTTCTTTAACTACAAGTTCTCCTATGGATTGTTAATCAGTAGCATACATGGGTTTTTTCAAGCCTTGCTTTTTATGAATCTTATATGAGATCCATCACCAAAAGGAAAAAATCCATCACTCAGTAGACACAAGTTACCAGCACAAATGGGATTGTCTTTTGTTAACACTTGCCCTTCTGAAAATCACAGCAAATCTTGCCTCTGGGGGGACAAATATTCCTCATGTTGTGCTCCAGTACAGAAATAATCTGGCAAGAGGGGGCTGAAAAGGTTCCCTGCAGCAGCATCCTGTCTCAGGCTATTAATTAGTTTGCTTTAACTTGGATTTCCCTTGACTCTTGTGTGCAACAGAGTGAGGGATGTTAGTCACAGAGATGAGTCAAGTGATGGATACGAACTTGGTAAATGGATAACGTGCCAGGGGACATTTGCAAATGCACATTTTGCTGGCAAACTACAAACAGACCATGTCTGGGAGGGAGGGAGAGGGGGAAAACCTCCTCCTGACAGCAGTGGGGAAGGCAGATGTGTTCCCCCTCCAGTGTGGCAGTGTTTGAAGGAACCCCAGATTACCTGGTACAATATTCCTTTGCATTGCAAAAACTGCTGAAAGTTTTATAAAAATATAGAATGTCACATTTCATTCTGACAGCGAAAAAATAAGTTTTCCTTGTATCATTCAGCACTATATAAATACAAATCAGGATTTTTTCATAAGATACGTCTATTTCCAACCCTGAGATTTACAAAAACCTATGACCCCCTAAAAATGTCACAGTGCAAATTTTAAAAAGTGAGTGGAGACACCATCTATTGCTGACCTTATTTACCACTGTCTGTCAAATGTACAAATAATTCTGCCCAGCTTTCTTCCTGTCTGATTTATAAGCAAGTGCATTGCTGCAGCTTGCAATATTCATTTTTCTGGAAGGTTTCTCTCTATTTGGCTTCTAGATCTGGGGATAGCAAGACCCATCAACAATTTCACTCAGGTGGAGATGAAAGTCAGGGAAGACACCAGCTCCCCTCTTCCACAAACCCATCTCAGGAGGTTTGCCCTCTCTTCTGTGCCTAGATGGTGGGGGAAAAAAAAAAAAAAA